AATTTAATAAATAAATAAAGTTATGTTCATTTCTGCTAGAGAAAGTTAGTTACCTATGTCTCAATCTATTTGTCCTCTGCTTATTGAGAATTCTATTCCATTGGAATGGAGAAACAACTTTCAGGCTCTCCTACAGAAATAGGCCCTAGGTCAGTGATGGCTAACCTTTTTGCTGTCATGTGCCAAAAGCATGGGGAGCGGGGTGTGTGTGTCGTGAACGTGTGTGCCCACACCTATAATTCAATGTGCCCCCCCCGCGCTCCCCCCACTTTTGCCACTGTGGGCCAGGTAGGACCATTTTTCACCCTCCCCAGGCTCCAGAGGTTTTCTTGGAGCTTGGGGAGACCGAAAACAGCTTTCCCCATCCCCCTAGAGACTTTCTGGAGGCCGGAAATGCCCCATTTCCTGACTTCTAGTGGGCCCAGAAGGCCCAAAAATCAGCTGGCCGTTGCACACATGCACGCTGGAGCTGAGCTTGGGCAACACTCGCGTGCCCACAGATATCGTTCCGCGTGCCACCTGTGGCACGCGTGCCATAAGTTCGCCATCACGGCCCTAGGTTCTTAGCAGAAGACATAGCATACCATAGTTCTTAGCATTCAGAGAGAGAGGGGAGGGGGAGGGGGAGGGGGAGAGAGTGAATGAGAGAGAATGTGTGTGTATGTTCTGATACGTATTGGCTCACTACTGTGAGCCTACACTACAAAAAATTGCAGATTATACCTACAAACTTGTAAAAATCAGGGACAAGGATCAGGGGTGTCACAGAACAACTTCAAAAGCTTGTCAAGCTTCTGACAATTCTCCTTTTGTTATAAATCATGTGGGGGCAGATGATATGAAAAAGAGCAGCTTTGAATGTCAAAAATCTGGGGGGAAGGGAAGGGAAGGAAGTGTTGTGACCTAGGCCCAAGTAGTTATTACCAGATACAATCAGTCCTAAACAAACATATTTTATTAGAACAGCTGAGAATTACTTCATTCTCAGCTTAGTCCAAATTAAGTCCAAATTAAGTTCAAAACAAATTCTTCATAAACAGTTCTTCAGCCTTATCACCAACCTTGACTTCTTTGGCACCCTGCCAAAGGCTTTTCTTGGCAAAAGTTCAGAAGCAAGAGACTGGGACACAAAACAAATGTAGCAAGACAAGAGAGAATTGTAGCAATGTTGCTTTCCTACAAAGATCCCAAGAGCTGTTGCTGCTCATTTAAGCCTTATGGGAGGGGCCAATCATCTCCTGGCCTTACTCCCGAGTTGTCCTTTTTGCTTTACTGCTCTTGCCTTCTGGCAGCTCTTCGCATGCGTGCACTAGGAACAGGCTCCTCTTGTTCCTCTGTCTCTCTGCTATCCACCTCTGGAGGCTCCAGAGTCCAATGCATCGCTTCCAGATGACCCCATCTCTGCCTCCGACCCAGAGCCCTCTTCCGGGCCTTCCCCTGGCCCATTGGATTGGCCCATTGTCCTCCCCAGCCTCCTCACTGTCTGACTCAGCTGCCAGCTCCACAGGCTGCTGGCGGACCACAACAGACAGGAAGGAAGGAAGGAAGGAAGGAAGGAAGGAAGGAAGGAAGGAAGGAAGGAAGGAATCCCTAAAGGTCTGAAGAAATTTGTAGAAAAAGAAAAAAGTACTTAGTACTTAGTGGCTCACTGCTATGAAGAGCTAAAAAATATCTGCAGATTTTACCCATAAACTTATAAAATCAGCTTCCTGTCAAGCATAAGCATCAGGGATGTGACAGAGCAACTTTGAAAGCTTGTCAAGTCTTCTGACAATTATCCTTTTCTTATAATCTGTGTGGGGGCAGATGATACCACAATGAGCAGCTCTGAACTTTGAAAATCGAGGAAGGGAGGAAGCTTAAGAATCCTTCCAGTCCATGTAAGAGAACTAGAAAGTGAAAGAGTATTTCAGATCGAGAGATTTGCTCTCTGGGATTGTGGTCTAAATTTTTTAGATGATGGATTGCTGGCATGAAACGGCAAATCTGGTAGATTACTCAGGCTGCACATCAGGCTGTACTGCTAAATCTCAGCACTCCAGACCCTTACCCTTTATTTAGGAATTAGATTTCTTAGCAGAGGGTTCTCAGACATAGTGTGGATTATGGATTATTCTCTTGCAACCAGACATGACGTCTATATACGCACAGATGTTCCACGGCCATACATGGAAACCAAGTCTGTAGAAGCCTGTGCTCCAAGGTTTAAACTCTAGGCCTTTTTCTTCTGCTTTTCCAAGTCAATAAATATATAGCCGTTATCTTGAGGGCTTCAAAAAAACCCTGATTGACATTGACATGTTAGTTCTTTCCAGCTAGAGAACTGCCAAGTTCTCTGTCCCGCAGCTTCCTTTCTTACAGAGTGGTTAGCCTTTTGTGACAATGATGTAATTAACACTTGTCTAATTAATATCATTCTCCCTGATGCTCCAGATCTGAACTGCTCCCTTTCTCTGGATGTTTAGAGTCACAAATGTGCAGCATTTGATTGCACATGTTGGCACTTGAAGGTACATTGTTGAACACAGTTTACATGCAGTGTTGTGATTTTTCGTTTATCCCTCAGAACCAAATATTGAGGCACTGTCTAAATACTTTCTATTGCTGGCAACAACCTGATGACTTCAAAGGATTCTTGAAGTTGACCTGTGTTGCTTTGATAAAATAGAATTCAGCTACAGATGTTTAGAAGAGTTTTAAAACATCTGCACTGTTTTAGTATTCAAGCCATTTACTCAGATGATTACTGAAAATAAGTTTCTGTTATTTTCTGAATGGAAAAAAGTATTATTTTCATTTGTTGCTAAACTGATGAGCTTTGATTTAAGATGGATGTGCTTTTGCTTAAGTTTAGATAGAGCAATCAGATCCCATCTTGTCTGGTGTTGTGTGGAGTTTTTTGTGGTTTATATATATTTCAGGCTGCCCAAGTCAGTTTGGAGTAGGGCGGAGCCTACATTGAATTAAATGAATAAATATTATGACCGCACCATTGACAAAAAGTATTGCTACTTCTAAATAGCAAAACTATGGTTTTGGCAGTCCTTCTGCATTGTTGTTAATCTGCAAATAGGTAAATATTTTGTAGTAGTCCCATGTAAAATCCTGTAACTGGGCAAAATGTTTCTTATAGTTAATTTTTCTTAACTAGTTATCTAAAAAAGCACTGAAGACTAGGGAGGTAAGGCTGGGTAATGCATGCTTTTGCTCATTGACTTTATTTCAAAAAAAGGACCTGTATTTCACAGTCTGTCTTCATCTGATTTATTTCTGTTTTTCACATTTCTCTCTTCTTTTTACCTTTCACCTCCTCCCTTCTGTCTCCATTGCTGTGGTTGGGTTTATTTATTTTTTATTATTTATGATTTTTTCCCCCTCATGGAGGTTCAGAAGAAATCTGACAGATTTGCTTTATGAATAATAAATAATATGCCTTGGCTTTTCAGTGTTAAATATAAACTAGTGTAAGCACTGCTTTCTGTGGAAGTTGATAATGCTCTCTCAGTAACATTATTGCATGTTCTGCTATCCAATTGGTAGCTTTGATTAGTATAGATCAATGGTTTCTTCTGGATAAGTCACTATTTCTCTGCCCAACTTACTGTAAGGGCAAAATGGTAGAAGGAATGGTCTTCACATTGCCTTGAGCTCCTAGAGGAAAAGCAGGATATAAATCTGTTTTATAATAATAATAAATTGTGCTGGGGAGGTTTGGGAGGAATTCATCCATATGATGGCATCTTAATTGGTTCCTGCATACCTTTTTCAAGAATGTTTCCTCCCCCTCCTCCTCCTCCTCCTCCTCCATAGCCTGGAATAGGATTTTGAGTTTATCCAATGAGCAAAGGTCAGGTGAAAGTGAAATACTTGGATTCCTAATAGTAGAATTCCTTTCCTTTGGGAGAATCTTTTGACCAACATAGGAAAGAATTATAAGGGAGTACTATTGTTGTTGTTTTTGTTGTTGTTAGCATATGGTGTTGTTACATTAGCCAGGAGACCACAATGCTATTGTACAGTAGTAGTTTGGCTGCCAAGGTACCAGCTCTGTTGTAGGAAATGCCCATGTGCTTCCCAAGATGCAGCACAGGAGGGTAAATTAATTTCACACCAGAGAAAAAGACAAGTGTCTCTTCCTGCAGCATCATCCATGGCTTCCTCCCTCTCTGGAGCCACCTCACAAACAGGCGCCACAGCCAGGAAGGTTCAGTTCTAGCTCTCACAGTGGAAATATGACAGTCTGCCTCGGTGCTGAATCTAGAAGATATGCATTCTCTATACAGCCTCTCTTTTCTTTAAAATAAACTCTTAAAAAAGGAACCTCACCCCTTTGATGCTACTAAATCACTAATGGAGTAAAATATAAACAACAAGCATAGTTGTGCTATTTTGGAGTGCATTTATTGTACTAACCATACAGTGTCCTATGTATGCAGGGCAGTTTGCATGTCCTTGCCTTAATTGAAGATCTCTGCCCTTATAAGCATACCATATGCCTTTTTCTGCAGAGAGGGAGGGAACAGATGGACAGAAGGAAAAGTTAGGAACAACAAACAGATGGGAAGCAAAGTTACCAACAGGACGAATGTACTTTTATATCTTGTCTGATTTTCACTAGGCATGAAGCAATTTTCAATTACAAAGTTTCTTGTTCTTAAACGGCTCGTTTTAAGGTACAACTTTATCCATCCAGATTGTGAGAACATTGCTTCCTATGCAGGAAGTACCATTTTTGTTTGCCATTAGCACTATATTACTCCTAAGTTTATTAATTAGATCTTGACAAGGTTCAGAAGCCCAAGAAATCTTGAACTCTGGTCAAAGTCTAAAAAGCCTGAACAAAGAGATATCAATTCACTAATTTTTGTAGGATATCCAATCTCATCTCAATACGTCAGATTATTTAATGTGATAAATGCATAATATAAAGTTTAAATATGTTTTCTCTAATTCAGAGAAAATTACAAATGGGTTTAGTGTTTTGTGTCTTGATGTTTCAGCTGGAGTGACGACAGAAACTATTCAGACCATTAATGTTACCCCCGAACAATCAGGACCTGAAGCCAAAATTCAAGAAGAAGAACATGATCTGGTTGACGAGGACATCTCAGCAGGTAAGTGTCATCGTCTGTATAATCCCACTGACACTCTGCTCTTGATGTGGTATTTCACAACTTGCAGTCAACATCCCTCCATTTTGAGCAATGTTTTACAATAAAGCATTTGTATCTGAAATTTCATTGTGAAGTTATTCCAGGAAGTAATATATCTAGATGTATTTCATTTTATAAACCTTTGTCACTACAAAGTTTCAGTTGTATTCTGTTAATTTTATTGCTTAGGCTCTGCCTTCTTTTTGCTCAAATATGGCATGAGCAATCTTGTAGATTTCCAAAAATTCTTATAATATGCAGAATTTGTTTATTTGTTCATTAAATTTCTTTGCCACCCATCGTATTTCGAGCAACCCCTGACAGCTTACAGCATAAGAAACATTAAAATTGCCAAGTATAAATATTCATCCAATAAGACAATTTACTGAATTTATTGAAATAATAAATATTAATTATGGATGTATGTTCAGTTTATTTTTACAGTATTTTATTTCCTCAAAGGGTCATAGCCTTAGTCATAGTAGTTGCTTTTGTGTAAGCCATCCTGGGAAAATGGAGAACTGGTGAGATGGCTGCACTGTATCAAATATATTTTTACCCAGTTTTATTAATAATATTAATAAATTTATTATGTTATAATTTATTATGATTTTTATTATAGTATAATTTTTAGTGCTTGTTTTTTTTTTATCAGTTTTAACTGTCTGCTGCCCAGAATCACATTCAGAAGATGAGGGTATATAAATATAAATATGAAAGGTAGATTAATGAATAAATTAATTAGAGGCAATTTGGCATAGGTCAAGGATTACAGTATATGTTGGGCAAAAGGAGAATATTCATGTTGATGACATTTTAAACAATAATTCTTTCTTGAGAATAGTTACTGCAATTAATTAATTGGGGTTCTGTAAGCAATGTACATGGTGTTTAACAGAATTGGAAGGAACCTGGAGCTCTTCTAATCTAACCATTTCAGACAAATGGTTGTCCAATCTCTTTTTAAAAACCTCCAGTGCTGGAGCACCCATAAGTCAGCCCACTGATTAATTGTTCTCAGTGTCAGGAAATTTCTCCTTAATTCTAGGTTGGTTCTCTCCTTGATTAGCTTCCAGAATAGGTTGATCCCATCTACTGTTTTGTGGAGAAAAATAAGTACTTATTGCACAATGGAAAAGTTAACAAAGGGAAAGGCAAAGTATTTGTGAGCAAATCAAGTTTTATTCAGTTAAAGCTTCACTTTGGTTAGGGATGCACTCTGAAGGAATAAGAAAGAAATGGTATAGGTTCTCCTTCTTCAGCAGGGGGCTGGACTAGAAGACCTCCAAGATCCCTTCCAGCTCTATTCTGATTCTGACTCTTAAGCAACTTAATGACTTTTTCCCTTTTTATCCAAAGGGAGAGAATCTGCATAATGGCATTTATAAAGGAATATGTCAAATGTCTCATTTCTTTCACTAATTGATTTTCCTCTCGTTTAAGCTATCAGTAGCAGATGTACTGAAATAAAAGGTTATTTACTTCCCAATTTACATGACTACAAGATTTCTTTAAAAACTAATAAAACGATAGACTAGAGATTGTATATGCTCTCTCTTGGACCTTGTTACTTGATTGAGCTATATATAGATTTTTGTGCAAATTTTCAAAGGCAACTGTATTTCTGTTGACTAGATGCCTATATAAATTACAGTACAAAAATCATGTAGGCATATACATTGAAACCATTATCACTATAAATCTTATTTTGGTGGCACTTGAAAAGAAATAAGATTTAGTTAGTAGTTAGACTGAGTATTTGCGCCACAAAACATGGGGCAGTAAATCCATTGGTGTTTTGATGATTTCCCACATTTTGTGATCGCTGAGTGATGGTTCCTATTCATTCAAAGCAGTACTGCTATATAATTACTGTGCAAGTTTATGCTTTGGATTTGACAGCTTTCTATATTTTATATGTTTATTGAGAACTGCCTGATATGGATGAAGCCAGATATAAATTTATGAAACCAAATTATAAATTAATAAGTCTATAGTAATTTCTGATCTATGTATATTATTTTTTAGAATATGGCCACTGTGTTGGATATTCTTACTTTTTACTGATAACTGCATTATTGTTTTAAAAAAAGAGTGTAAGATGTTCAGCGTTGATTAGATGTTTATAATGTTGGGCTCAGGATTGGACTATTAATAGATTACTAATGTTTTTCTCAGGATCAGGCTATTAGTAGCAAAAGACTATTTCAAATATAATTGCATTGATAAATATAATCCTATTGAAATGTGTGTTTTCATTCCATTTCTCTATATTTAAATATCTATATTTTATATTTTATTTTATTTATTTTAAAATTTATATATTTTAAACGTTAATAACTATTGATTCATTTCCCAATGAGAATGTGTCATAGTTTTTACCAAATCAGTCAACGTTTATTTTATCACTGAAATAAAAGCAAATGAGTTCCACTTCCATTCCTTGAAAATTCTTTTGTCCGTAGAAAGAGACTAGCATTCAAGTTATATGGACAAGTGTATCTGATGCATGATATATAACTTAGAGCCTCCAATTATAAAGCCTGATAAAATACATTTTTTTAAAAAAAATGTTGTTTTAAATGTGAAAAAATGAAGTGCAGCATTATCAATAACTAAAACAAATTAACTAGTTAATAATCCAGTAGTTCTAATAGCTGTCATATGCTCTACCTTAGATAATGCACACAGGAAATATATCACCTAGAATGAACTTACCTGAAATAAGATAAAGAAATAGTATGATTCTAGTAAGCAGCAATGTGTCTCTTAATCTACTGTTTATATGCTTTAAATTTTTTAATGCATATAGGAGAGTTCTGCATTTGAATTACATTTCTCATGAAATAGAAAAGCACTATTTGCAGCTTTTGTGCTGGAAAGATTAGTTTCAGCTTTCTTTGGTCAGCACAGCTGACCACATAATAAAAGAAAAGGTCAAAAGTCACTGACATTGTCAAAATCTGAGATTATAATACTATATCACTACTTCTTGTTGACAGATTTAATGACCTCAACTTAAAGAAGCAGTATGGTCATAGATTAAAATATTCTGTGCTCTAAAATATGGGAGGACAGATCTCAGATTTGTAGGATCTGTATATTGGTATATTTTGCTAAATCAGCCAGCCAGAACCAGATATGAAAATAGAAAAAAAAAAAGATAAAATTCAAAACTTCTGACTATCAGAACTGAACTGGGCTCATCATCTACCCCTGTCCTCTGTGTTGGAATTGAGCAGTGTATAAAATTTATACATAAAGTATATAAACTTATAAATAAATAAATCATAGTTGTTAAATAATTGAAAATAAAATCTTGACAAACAAATCTACCTTATTTGGGTGGAGATCGTTGCCTATCTATCTATCTATCTATCTATCTATCTTTTTTCTTTTGGTCCTATTATATTTGCATAATTATTTTTGTAACCTCCGTTGTCATAGTTTCGCTGGAATATCTTGGAGTTTTTGCCTAACTTATTTCCAGACAATATAAAATCTTAGCGAGTCTGTGCTTCATGAAGGTCCATTCCTTCTTTACAATATTGGCAAATGGTACAAATTAAAAACAAAGCAACCCTGGCAGCTATAAGAGAACACTACCACAAAGGACCCACAACAACAATAACCTTTAATTCAGATCTCAAGGGCTTTCCAAATGCCCAGGAGAGAAGGCCCCATCCATATTTCTGGAAGGATGGTCTTCCAGAAGATTGAGCTGCATAAGAGCAGCTGGTCTCGCATTTCTAACTCTGAAATGCAAGACTGTTCTGCTGGTTAACGACCACAATAAAGTTATTTGAATTTTGAACCTAACTGTATTCCGTTGGATTCTTTGCATCTGTAAAATGAAAGAAATGTCTGTTTTATTTTTATATAAATAAAATACCTTGATTTTGCATAATTACTTCCATTCATTTACTAAAGATTCATTATTTCCCATGTGCAATCAGCAGAAAAAAGCAGTGGGTTTTTTAGATGTGTATTATATTTACCTCATGCTAAGGTTTGGCTACTTTTCAGCAATTCCAATCAGCAGTATAAAATGTACATTATGGTATTCTTGAAATAGTTTGTAGTTCTGTCAATGAGCAGAAATCTAATTTGAACATCTGTCTTTGCCACGCTTTGTATTCTGATCTTTTAGTGTCACACAGATCATGTGGAGAGTGATATAAATGCATCTTAAAATCCCTGCTCACTGAAGGCCATTGTTCCTTTTTAAAAAATAATCTACTTCAGTATCACCATCATGATATTTCCTCCATCCATATTTACCCTATACTTTCAGTAATGCCTTTTATATATTTGGCAAAATAACATTATCACTATAAGTTCAGAAATCTAAATATAATAGAAATGAATTATTTTTGAATGCATCTAATGGTGAAAAAAATATCCATTTCCAGTGTTCAAGAATATAGTTGAAAGAGGATTTAGTGCAAGACTGTGTATTGATCTAGGCTTCTTGATAGTTTCTGAAATTCCTTGCTAATAAAGCATCTGTATATCCCTTCTGGCTGGCAGAGTTGAGGTAATTTTGTACCATATTGAAAAGTGAACCAAGTCTAGAATGCAAAAGTAGAAGCCATTGTGAAAATACATCTCTCTCCCTTCATACTTAGTGTAAGAAATGAAGTATTCTCCCTGTCTCCGTTAACAGAAAGTTTAGGAAAACTCTCTAAAGCTTCTTACTTTCTGCAGTCTTAATTCCTGTGATGGCAGATTGGAGATAAATAGGATCTTGTTATGGTTTTAAATGTTTTTGGAGTAGCAGCAAACCAGAGAATGCATACAAATCAACTCGGTGGAGTAATAATTTATTCACAAAATTGGCTTACTTATGAAATAAGACTTACTGTGTAAGCCACGTATGTCAAACTCTCTGCATCACGTTGCCATCATGTGATGTTTCACAACGTTTTTCACATTCGCGGAGCTGGGGTGGGCGTGGCTTG